AAGTGATTCTTTTCCCTCCACAAATTTTCCCTCTTCTACACCTCTCCATACATGTTGAAGCTAGCCCCATCCTTCCACCAAAAATTGTCACCTTAGAGATGTATTTGACCCTTCTCTCTGCCTTTTTCCCAACCAGTTGCCAATTCAGTTAATTCTAGGCCTCTGCCTCTATTTTCTCCGCTCACATGACCTCAGTGGAGCCCCTACCCAACCACCCCATCTCATAGAATGCACACTCCCTGAGGGCAAGGACTGTTTCCTTTTTTGTCTTTGGTGATTAATAAATATTGTTAAATTGGATTGAATTGCCATATTTGAGTGAGAAAAGAGTGGAAGTGGGGAAGCCCCATAAATAGGGCATTTTCTTGGTTCAGACAAGTGGCAGAGGGCCTGTGCCAGGAAGGTGGTGGGAAGAGGGAGCAGGGGACAGATGTGAGACTTTTTCAGAGCAGCTAATCCTCGTTGCCTGTTTAATGACTATGAGCAATTGATCTGACATTGAATGATGACCAGAGGGACTCGATTCTGAGAATCCTGCCCTCATATCTTGGTCACCCTGATAAAATGCTGACCTGTTTGGCCTCCGTCTCCTGCCGGCCCTAATGACTTAGGAAATGACAGCCTCTGTGTGACTCTCCATCTGGCTGAGCTGAGTCTCGAGATCCAATTTCCTCCAGCAATATTTTTTTCTCAAATACTTTTAAAGGAGGTACTTGCTTCAGTAGGAAAAAAAAAAAGCGGGATTGTAAGCCAGTAACAATTTTAGCTGGGGCCAGGAGATGTTAGGGGGAAGGTTGTGGGATCCTGGTTTTGTCTCAAATATTTGCTAGAGAGGGAATGCTGACCTATCGCTGCAGTAGAAGAAAGGGTGGGAAATCATGTGGGACAATAAAAGCCCTCTGAGGCATCTTGGCCCTGCGCTCCTCTGAGCATCTCCTGGACATGAGATCTTTCCTGAACTATCAGTCGGTCATTTCCGATTTCCCAGCACTCTCCTGATGCTGTTCTCACAGATACGTGTAGTTTACAAAGCTCTTTTTTCCAACTCCATTAGATAACAAGAGGTGGAGTATTACCCCCATTTTACAGACAAGGAGACTGTAACCTAGAGAGGCAAAGAGATCCACCCATAGTCACACAGCAAGCAAAGGTTGGAGCGGAACTCTCAACCTAGATTCTCCAAATCTAAGACAAAAGTTCTTGCTACTGTACTTCCCAACCCCAGCAAATGCTTGTTCATTCGCTAATACATGGTTGGCCCAATGGGAGGAACTCTTTTGAAATCAGCGTTAATTTTCCATTTCATTTTGCTAGCATAGACTTGTCGCCATTCCTTCTACTACCACCTCAGATGGATTTCAAATTTTACCCCTTCCAAGCAGGTGCAGCGGCAATGTCAAACCAACCATTAGGACTTTAGACAATTTCAGTTAAATTGAATGAATTTAATTTTTTCTCCTAAATACACAGCATGTTCAAATAGAATGGGCTGGTGATTAACCTGACTTATTGCAGACCCTCCCGCCTCCATCAGACCCTGCATCATGGCAAGGAGAGTGTGCCTGGGAAAGGGCTCCCAATTTGGAGATGGGGATCCAAGTTTGAATCCTGGCTCTGATAGTTACTAACTGTATGAGCTGAGTCATACCACCTCTCTGTACCTCAGTTGTCTCATTTGTAAGATGAAGAGATTGAACTGAACAAGTATTTCCTAGTTCTAAATCTATGACTGAGTGATCCTACAACATCTTCTCATGATAAGAAGTTTGCAAATGACCAACTGGGGATAATCTCAGAGGGAAAGGCTCCGTGTGGAAGTTGGGACTTTAGCCGAGACATTCTGGAAGCCAGGGAGGCCAGAAGGTGGAGATGGGGAGGAAGAAAGGTCCAGGCAGGCAGGAGAGACAGCCTAGGGTTACACAGCTAGTAAGGAGGATATTAGAGTGCGCATTTAGGGTTATGGTTAGCTCTTTTCCTTCTTCCAGATGGAAAGTGGGGAACAGTAAGAGGGGACATCCCTTTGGTTCTCATTTAAATGCCCCGCACATAGTGAATGCTTAATAAATGTTTATTGATTGGATAATTCTATATCCCTCCTCTTTCTCTTCCCTTCTTCTTCCCTCTTCTCCTATTCCCCTTCTTTTCTTTTCTCTTCTTCCCCTTCTCTCCTCCCTTCTAAATCCCAAAGCTGCAGATGGACTTAAGGGGAGATAGGAGAGAATGGGATACACAGGAAAATCTGGTTCATTTCTTCCTTGCCCAAAGTCCTTGGGATGACGAACTGGTATCATTTTGAACAGTTTTAGCCACCAGTGCCTTATACCAGAGACAAGATGCCAATGGACGAGTAAACTTTTCCAGGGTTGACATCACTTGAGCTGGCTGAGCTACTAAAGTTTTCATTCTATTCTGACTTCTCTGTGACCCATACTTACCCTGGAACTTAGTCAGTGGGGCTTTTAGCTGTTAGCCTTTATCTCTGGCAGTCAAAATATTCAGGCAGCCTGATGTCATGAGTTCCAAGGACAGCATCAGAGCCCTTCTGGGAAAATTCACAGATAAGTCATTGAGCCGATGCAGAGTAGATGATCGGGCAAGTGTAAGTGAACCATCTTCATTCAGCTCATGTCTTTTCTAACTGCTGTGGAGATATGGGAAGCCACACTTCTCCAGGCAGGAGTGAATGTCCTCAAAGACCACATTTGGGTTTCTTTATCCAAGTTGCTGAAGCCTTTGGCCGATTTCCTTATCACTTCCCCTTTTCCACTTAACTCCTGGCTCCAACTTGATCTATGTATTTGTTCAAGTCTCCCCAGCATTCCATCCCTCTCACCTCCTCCCCCATAGTAAATACATACTGGAGTGTTTCACTAGAACAGTTTATAATCCCAGATACTTGACTGAAAAGCCTCAATTATGACCTCTACTTTCTATCTTTTCCCCAACTTCTCAAGTCAAATAAAAATTTTAAATAGCAAAGAAAAAAAAACCATTATCCCAAAATACACGTTATTGTCATATTATTGTCCTGGTTCTTTCATGCCATCATCTTATTAATTTTATTAATCTCATGGAATGCAACAGGGTACAATGGAACATCTATATCGTTTTAGAAGCTAGATTCTTCAGGAGTAGAGATTGTTTCATTCTTTATATTTTATATTTATATTTCTAACACCTAGGAAATAGTGGGTGCTTAACAGATGCTTTTTGATTGACTCAGAATCAAAGAGAATTTGAGATTTTAATCCTAAATCTGCCATGGACTCATTGTATGAGCAGAGATGCTTTTCTGAGCATTGTTTTCTTCACCTGTGAAAAAAGAAGTTGATAATAGCTTGGACTACCATAGCAATTGAGGTTTTGTGAAGGAAGCTTTTCAAAATCACAAGGTTCTGCCTAATGGAGAGCTATTTGACTCTTGTAAGAAAATTGCTTCTGAGCTGAATGGGGCAGGACCGATTGACCCAAAAAGAAAAAGAAAAAAAGGTATCTCCCCTCATGCCCTAGCCTCTTCTCCCTGCAAAGATGTAACCTGTCAGTTTCACTTTGGAGCGATCCATGTTGGTTTCATCTCATGTCAGGAAGGCACATTTCCAGGCAAACAGCATTCATACTCCTGACAGGAGTTTTCTCCAAACTGTGACTTGGGCAGCTCAGAGCTAAAATGGCCCTTGTTCATCACACACAAAACTTCATCTCCCTTTTCCATGACTTTGCACTCATTCTTCATGATTGGAATGAATGCCTTCTCCCACATCTTTGCATCTTAGACACCCCAGTTTCCTTCACAACACAGCTCAAGCATGACCTTTTACATGAATCCTCTCAGGATCACTCTCACTGCTAATGTCCTCTCTCTGAAACTGCCTTGGATTTATTCTGCATATACTTATATACATGCATGTCCCTCCGAACAGAACATAAACTCCTTGTTTTGGTTTTTGTCTTTGCATACCCAGAGGCTGGTGATATGCCTCCAGTAAGGAAACTAATAAACGCCTGTTGATTGATTGAGGCACATCATTACCATGCAAAGGCTAATAGGGTATTTTTCCTCACAAGGAATTTAACATCTCTTCTGGATGTCAGCAAGAATCTCATTCTGAAATCAACTTCTTCCCAAGTTTATAGCAATTAAGAAGTCAACCTAACTTAAATGCTTAATAGGATCAGCAAAGAAGGAAGAGGTCTCCAATTGGATTTTCTAAGAGCTACGTTTATTCCCATACTCCAATAATCTTTTGTGTCAATGTTCTCTCTCTCTTTCTTTTCTCTCTCTCTCCCTTCTACTCTCTCTTTCCCTCCTCCTCTTCTGTCTTCTCTCTCTCTCCTCACTTTTCTTCTCTCTCTCTCTCTCTCTCTCCCTCTCCCTCTCCCTCTCCCTCTCTCTCTCCCTCTCTCTCCTTCTCCCTCTCCCTCTCCCTCCCTCCCTACTCTTCTATTTCCCCCTTCCTCTCTCTCTCCCTCCCTCTCTCCCTCCTCTTCTGTTTCTCCCTTCCTCTCTCTCTTTCTCTTCTCTCTCTCTCCCTTCCACTCTGTCTTTCTCCCCTCTTTCTTCCTCTCTCTTCTCTCTCTCCCTCTCTTCACACTTTTCTTCTCTCCCTTTTTCCCTCTCTTTTTCTTTTCTCTCCCTCCCTTCCACTCTCTTTCTACTCTTTCTTCCTCTCTCTCTCTCTTTCTCTCTCTCTCTTTCTCTTTCTCTCTCTCTCGTCTGTACACCTTTCTTACAGTACCTCAAGGGTAGCTATAGAAATAAAGCCATATTTTTCTGTAATCATAGCTAAAGTTTTCAAAGAGCTTGGTTCATTTCTTGGGTTTTTCTTAGACTTTCACAAAAGACATCTGATTGTTCTCATTAGGCCCAACAGTGATAAAATTTCCCATTATCATGTTGTCCCATTCTTTCTTTTCTACCTTTTTGAGATTGGCTGCTAGGCTGGCAAAGAGAGATGTCTCAACCTCATTTCTTAACCTCTATCTTTTTCTTTCTCTTTCAGTCTGATGCAAATGCCAGCTACCTAAGAGCTGCTCGAGCTGGAAATTTGGAAAAGGCACTTGACTACATCAAGAATGGCGTAGACATCAACATCTGCAATCAGGTCAGGCCTGGGGATCCCAACACTTGATTTATTTTCTCAACCTTAGGGGTGTTTGCTCTGCAAACAATATTTGCTTAATATTATCACTAGTCTACCTGCTCACCTTGTCCTCTATCCTATTACCTGGCACCTCATCTACAATGTCAAAGTATCCCTCTGCCTTGGCTAAGAAAATGGTTAAATTTTTTTTTGATAGTGAGGCATGCAAAATTTATTACTTTTTAAATTTATTTTCTTATTTTTAAAATAACAATAATCTATTTTCTCTCTGTCCCACCTCCCAACCCCTTGAAAAGAAAAAAAAATCTTGTAACAAATATGCTTGATCAAGAAGAAACAAATTCCTACATCAAAGCCTTCAGATTCCAAGGTGTTTGCCTTCTAATGTGTTCTGAAATTCAGTGATAGTTGTAAGAAGTCATTTCATCTTAGGATCTTCATTTCTCTAACTAAAATTCCTATAACATTTACATGTAGGCAATTGTCTCTTGAGTTCATTGATGAGGACTGTTATTTTGAGAATCCATGATAGGTAGTTTGTATATGATTTTTCAACATGCCAAGTCAAGCTTTCTCATTACTTTTCATCAGAATGGGTTGAATGCACTCCATCTTGCTTCCAAAGAAGGACACGTGGAAGTTGTATCCGAATTGATACATCGAGATGCCAATGTGGATGCAGCGACAAAGGTCAGTGTCTCGAACCCAATGTGCTTGTTTTAATTGTCCAGTGACCAAAGTCTTTGATAGTTGTAACCCAGGTAGGAATTAGAGTGATGATCTGTTGTGTCCAGTTACCAATTGCCACCAACAATTATAGCCCCCAATATGAATTACAAAGATCTCCTGGGAACCATTCTTTTACTTGGGTGGTGATGCAGCCTGGAAAGACTGGTGCTGCTGATTCAAGGTCTTAGAACATATATGTGACAACGAGTGTGTTAACAATGTGCTGCCCTTTTTCCTTCTTGCAGAAAGGAAACACAGCTTTACACATAGCATCTCTGGCGGGGCAGACAGAAGTAGTAAAAGTTCTAGCAACAAATGGAGCCAACCTCAATGCACAATCTCAGGTAAGGTGGTTTGTAGTGCCTAGCACATAATAAGCACTTAATAAATCTTTATTGATTGACTGTACCAAACAAATTTTATGGGTAGAACTGTATGAATAATTTTTCTTATTTGTATGTTTATGGGAGTATGTATATATGTATGTGTATGTACATATATACGTGTATATATACATTGTGTATATGTGTGTACATATATTTTTGTATGCCATCTAGGAACAAGATGGGGGTCAAAGGATGAAAAAAATGTATATATCATTGACAAAACATTCTGAATTTTAAGCTCATATGCAGTATCATCTCTAACTCAGAAATTAAGGAGGTGGTGATATTTTTTTCCAAAAGCTGCCTATGAACCCACATACCTTTGAAAACATTCTCTATTAATGAATGGTCCTGTGTTTGGGATTGGAAAAGTTAGCAGCTGACTGGTGCTCAACAGACAACTGGAGAATGTGTGTAATGTAGCCTTCAGATAAGCCAGTGATGCTAAGCAGACACAAGGCAGAGTGTTGAAACCAGCTTCTTTTTTGGGGGGCAAGGGGGAGGATTTCCAGAAGTCAGCAACTGATCCTAGCAGCCCAAAGTACATGGTTGTTATAACCAATAGCATAAGAGAACAAGTCACTTTCTTACCAGTGTTCCAGCTGTTGGCAAGGGACCAGATCCATCCTAACAATTGCCTGATTTTCTGAGATAGAAAAAAAGTGAGAGAGACCCATCCCCTAAGAGGGCATCTCTGGAGCAGTGGAAAAAGCACTGGTCTTGGAGACTGAAAACTTAGGTTCAGATTCTGTTCCTGCTGGTTATTAGTATGTGACCTTGGCCGAGTGATTTCACTGGTCGTTCAGTTATTTCATTTGTGTCTGACTCTTCATGACCCCATTTGGGGTTTTCTTGGCTAAGATACTGGAGTGGTTTGCCATTCCCTTCTCCAGCTCATTTTACCGTTGAATCAACTGAGGCAAACAGGGTGAAGTGACTTGCCCAGGGTCACACAGCTAGAAAGTGTCTGAGGCCAGATTTGAATTCAGGAAGATGAGTCTTCCTGACTCCAGGCCCAGCACTCTGTGCACTATGGTGCCACCCGGCCACCCAAATACTTTAAGGTAACTTTGTTGTATGATTTCACTACTGGGCCTTAGTTTCAACTCATTTATAAAATAGGACAACAGGATATGCTTGATTTCTCAGGTCAAGACAAGGGATGTCAAAGTCCGTGTAATACAATCCCCTCACTTTACAGATGACAAAACTGAGGCCCCAGGAGGTTCGTCCAGTGACTTAGTAGTAAGAGGCAGAGATTGTCCCTAGTTCTAAATCTGATGATTTGTGAGCATTCTTCCCACAGAATCTTTCACTAAGGTCTAAGAATAGAATGGTAAACTTATGGCTCATTGGCCCACCATTATCTAAGGGAGCAATTCAGGTCTGTTTTCTGGGGGAAAAACATCTTCCTGGTCCATAGACATGTGGCTAGCTTCCACTAGCCCACATTAAGCATTGCCCACCCTAGTGATGCCTGGGCTGGCGTCTAGATCCAGAGGCCACAAAGGAGACAGTGGCAAAGCTTTTGTCAGCCTGATTTCTTTTAGATGTGGTCTTTCAAAATCAGGAGGACCTGAGTTCAAATTTGGCCTCAGACACTTACCAGCTGTGTAACCCTGGGAAAGTCATTTAATCCCGATTGCCTCTGAAAAAAAAAAAAAAAGATGCTATCTTTCTAGTTCCCGGAGTAGATACCTGTGGCCCTATTATTTTTTAATAAAGATCACTTGGAATAATATTAGGAAGGCATGATACTGAAGGATACTAAGGAAGTTGGGAGGTAGTGGTGAGAAGGGAAAGCATTCCAGGCCTGGGGACAGCCAGAGAAAATGTTCAGAGCCTAGAGATGGAGGGTCTTGTGTGAAAAAGAACATGGCGGCCAGTGTTTCTGGAAGGACGAGTACATGGAGGAAAAGGAGCAAAATATAAGAAGACTAGTTAAGTGACTTCTCCAGGGTCACACAGTCTAGGCCTTGACTATAGAACCCACGTATATATAGTCATTTACACATTGTTTCTTCCATTAGAATGTGACGTCCTTGAGGGCAGGGATGGTGTTTGCTTTTTTCTGTATACCCGGTGATTAGCACAGTGCCAGGCATACAGTAGGATATTTATAAGACAAACCTCTGATGAATCAGTTGGATAAGTTCATCTCCTTGGCTAAGTTTCCTTATATACAAATAAAGGGTCTGGACCAGCTAGGCTCTGGGGTCCCTTTTAGCCGTGCTCAAGAGATCCATAGTATCTGATCTTACCTACAAAATGTGGGAAAGCACATTTTAAAAAATAAGTCGTAGTCTCATCTGCGTTTCTCTGGATGTCTATCCCCTATAAATGTTTTAAAAATAGCTGGGAGGATGCAGATGGTGAAATCTCAGGTTACATGGAGCTGGGCTTGAAATCTTGTGAACCATGGAGCATGGCTAAGAGGCCCTCTGCTCTGTGGCCACCTGCATTATTACATGGCCAGAATCTGTAAAGAATGACTTAAGCACTCAGGCACGTCCACAATGGCTCCTGGGAATGTTTCAGAAGCCACTTTCTAAGACAGCCATTGAACACAGTATGGATTGGAGTGGCAGGAGAAGCTGAGGGTGGGACACAGGAAAGGGGGCCAGGCTGGAAATCAGGGGCCCTGACTTCAGTCTTGGGGACCTCGGACAAGTGATTTACCCTCTGTGGGCCTCAGTTTCCTCATCTGTAAAGTGAGGGAGTTTGGCTATATGGCCTGTGACGTCCCTTCCAACTTGAAACACTGTAGATGTTTCAGAGAAAACAAAATCGATCATTTTACCCTATTAAAATTTCAGGGTGTGACCAGCATTGAAAGTGTCACACAGAATCTTGCAAAAAGATACTGAAAAAGCTCAACAACTTTACTTGATATCCTGATCTTGGAAAGAAAACCAGTATTGGGGAGACAGACAGCACTGACTGCTGGTCTTTCAGACAGGCCAGACCCAGTAATGTCAAGAATTCCCTCAGTCACTTATTCAGAAAGCTTGCATTTAGAGGCCACTGGTGCAAGGCGCTGTTCGAGGTGCTGGGGTGAAGGAGTCCCTGCCCTCAAGCAGCTTACATTCTACTGTCCCTTAAGTTGTTTCGTCCTGGCACATAGTCAGCAGCTAAGAAATGCTTGTTCGTTGATTGCTTGATTCTGGGGTGTGAGAGAAATCACTATTAATAACCAATGATTTGGAAAGATCCAGAGTTGCCCCCTTTTTCTGAAGTCCTGATTTAAAAAGTTCATTCTCTTGAAGGGCGTTACTGAGAATGAGACTAATGTTCTTGTTCAGATCCCACCCAGATGGGAAGCCGTTGTGGCCAGCTCAGGTTTGGGTAGGGATAAATTCTTTGAATAGAGTGCCCTAGGCTGAGGGTAACTTAAGAAGTGAATGACATAATCAAAGTTCAGATCCAGCCCCTCATTGTAATATTTATTCTCTCATTAATTATTAACTAATCCGAGTAGACTGCCACCTTTGGGAACACCCCATTTCCAAGGGCATATAAGCCATGAGCCCACCACCATGATTGTCTTTGGTCTAAGAGAGAGAAGGCCAAATGACTCTCCTTTTATTAATAAACATGTTGGGATTATTAATAAAATGATTAAGTTACCCAGATATTATGTCTGCCGAAGCTTTTTAAATGGCACAGGTGATCAAAAAGGAGAATAAAATGTAGCGATTGGGCAAGGAGAGTATGAACCTCTAAGGGAGAGGATGGGTGGAGAAAATGCCTTCTGTGTAGTAGGCAGTAAGTACATGAGCTGAGCCTTGGATGAAACAAAGAATTCTGGACACGGGGCAAGAAGGGAACCAAGTCCAAGTGGAAAGGCAAAGGAGTGCAAAAAATGGAATACTGAGTTTTGAAAAACAACCAGTAAGCCACTTGGGCTGGAAAAAAAGAATGCATTCTGTTTATCCCATATCAGCTTGCTTTGGATTCATTTGTTTGCATGTTGCCTCCCTCAATAGATTGGAAACTCCTTGAGGGCAGGGACTATCTTTCGTCTCTTTTTGTATCCTCAGCACTTAACACAGTGCCTAGTGTATATAGTAGGTGCTTAATAAATGTTTGTTGATTAATTGATTAATGAGAAATAAGCAGCTTCATTCAAACCAATAATAATGTTTACAAGTCAAACATAAGATGGTAAATGTGTCAACTGTGGCTTATCCTAAGTGATTTTTTGTTTGTTTGCTATGACATGGCAGGGAGAGATGGAGTGGGAAGAGCGTTATACTTGGGCTCAAATCCCTGTCCTGCCTCTTCCTTCTTGTGTTACCCTGGGCAAGGCACTCAGCCACTTTGAGCCTCTTTTTCCTAATTTGGCAAATGGGAAAAAAAGAATAGATTATTTCACAAACAATCATCAAGCATTTATGAAGCACTAGCTTGGTGTTGGCTCTAAGCTAGGCATTGGGGATAAAAATCCAAACATGAGGCAATCTCAACCCTCCATGAGCTTGTATTCTATCTGGGAAAGACAAGACGTATACATCAAAGGAGTAGGGAGCCACCCTGTGATTTAATTGGTGGAGGGAACTCCCAGATGAGGAACTTCTTCTACCAATGTGGTTGTGTAGACATGTACACATCCATGTTATGTAATGTATTCATGTGTGTTTGGGTGTACATATATATAATACAAAATCATAAATGAATTAAAAGTTTAAAATCCTAAAATCTTTAATGTCTCAAAGGCTACATTCCATATAACTGTCAGCCTATTGACCTTAACGTCTGCCTCCAGAGGATTTTCTAGGGCCACAGCAGCTGAGGGGTGGCACTGCCGTATTTTGTCTTAGTCAAAATCTATTTGTGGCACCAGGAACACACTGGCCTAGGAGTCGGGGACAAAGAGATCATCAGGATGAGATGCGTATCTGATGTTACAGAAGGCTTCTGTTCTAAAAAAAAAAAATCATGCCAGAAGCTTAGACATTCAAGGACAACACTTCATTAAGAGCAGATAAAATAATAATAGTAGTAGTAGAATAACTAGAATTTATATAGCTGTATTGCTTTGGATAGGCAGCGAGGTGGCCCGGTGGACAGAGCATTGGGCTTGGAGTCAAGAAGACCTGAGCTCACATTTGGCCTCAGACCTTTTCTAACTCTGTGACCCTGGACAAGTCACTTAACCTCTGCCTCAGTTTCCTCAACTGTAAAATGAGGGTAATAATGGCATCTAACTCCTGGGAATGTTGTGAGGATAAAATGAGATCATATTTATACAGCACAGTGCCTGGCACATGGTAGGAGCTTAATAAATGCATGTTCCCTTCCTTCTGCTCTCCCTTCCCCTCTCCCTTTTTCTTTGCCTCTTTTTCTTCCTCTCTCTCCTTCCCCTCTTCTCTTCTTCCCTCACTCCTTCCCTTCCTTTCTTCTTTCCTTCCTCCCTTTCTTTTTTATTCCTTCCTATTTTCCTTCCTCCCTTCCTTCTTTCCTTCCTCCCTCCCTTCCTTCTTTCCTTTCTCTCTTTCTTTTTTCTTCCTCCTTTCCTTCCTCCTTTCTTCTTCCCTTTCTTTTTTCTTCCTTCCTTTTTTCCTTTTTCTTTCCTTCCTCCTTCCCTTCCTTCTTTCCTTCCTCTCTTTTTTTCTTCCTTCCTTTTTTCCCTTCATTCCCTCCTTTTTGATATTTGCAAAGCAAAAATTTACATATTTTTCCCTTGATCCTCACCCCACCCTGGGAGGGAGGTGTCATCACTATCCCAGAGTTTCTTCCCTTTACTCCTTCTGAATGGGATCTAATAGACATAATGAGTTATGTATACTCTCACCTCTTCTTCATGAGTCAGCTCCATCATTACAGACTCCGCCCATTCTACCAGGCTGGAATCCGGGCGTTTTCCGCATTCACTTTGGTCTCTAGTATCTGTGCCTGCTTTTCTGCCATACTCCTGTCTTTAGCACCTTGACATGGGGACAGTCTTTTGCTCAAATTCTAGAATCTTAGAGTTAGAGAAGCCCAGAGACCCTGCCATCCAATCCATCCTTGACAGAACCCCTCTTCAGAATATCCCGAGCAATTTGGCATCCATCCTCTGATCAAATGCTTTCATCAATAACAGACTCATTGCCTCTTAGCAAAAACTCATCCTAGTTTTGTTCAAGCAGCATTTGTTAAGCCACTCCTATGTGCCTGGCTCTGTGCTGGAGGCAGAGAGGTACAACACAGACCCTGCCTTCACAGAGCTCACCGTCTAATACTAGAGAAGCATGCAAACAGCTATGGACAAACAAGATAGAACCAGGATCAGCTGGTGAGAGTGAACAGGAGGGAGGGACCGGTGTTCAGGGAGACTGAGAAAACTTGGCAGAAGGTGGGACTGTAGCTGACACTCCACGGAAGTCTAGAAGGCAGAGATGTGGAGGGAAAATGTCCCCTCTGTGGAGGACAGCCAGAGAAAATGCTGTCAGGAGATCAAGTGTCCTATGTGAGGAATACTAGGAGTACGGTGTCACCAGGCCAGAGGACACAGAGAGGAGAAAGATGAAGGAAGACAGGAGAGGTGGCAAGAGAACAGATTATCATGGGCTTCGAAAGTCAGAGGATCTGATATCTGTTCCTATAGGTAATAAGCATCCATGGCAGTTTATTGAAGAGCAGGTGAGAGGGGTAGATCTATGTTCTAGGGGCTTAATTTTCCAGCTGAATGGAGGACTGATTTGAGGGGGGGGTGGAAGACGAGGCAGGGAGACCTAGCAGCAGGCTATTGTCACAGTCCTGGAGGGAGGTGATGAGCACCTGAACCAGGGCGATTGATGGCGTCAGAGGAGAGAAGGGGGGATATTTGAGATACGTTATAAAGGTAGAAATATTAGGAATTGACAGTGCTTGGACGTGAAGGTGGGGGCAGGGGGTGGTGAATGGTAAGAGAGAGAGTGAGGGATCTAGCATGACCCCAGGTTGCAAGCCTTGCAGAAGATGCTTCTGCTATCCCTTTCCATAATCCCAAGACTTCTCTCCCTGGGCTAACAATCCCAATGTTTCCAGCTGCTCCCCAAACATCATGATTTTGAGTCACCCACTTAGTGGCCCTCCATTGCCTTGCCTTCAGTCTGTCACTTTCTATTGTCATTTTCCCTGTTTGCGTCAGCTGCCTTCCCCTCCTCATTTTGTGCTTCTCATCAAGAAATGAGGTTACTGCCTGGTAGGAGATTAATATGTGAACTAAGAGTGAATGGCACCTGGGCAAAGGGCTCTTTCCAGGACGGAGCTCGTGTGTCCCTGTGCATAGACTTAGAGAAATCTGTCATTGTTGCCAAAGGTCTTTTTAACTTATTTCTGGTTCTGGATGTTAATATCCGTAGACTCCATAGGACAAGGAAATGAATTCAATTCCAGAAAAACAAACAACTTGTTGAGCAATTATTTCACAAGCTTTTGCTTTGCCTCTTAAGCAGTCCCCAAAGCTGACTCCAGACTCTCGGAATGATCGTTGGGAGCACAATTATCCTCACAACAAAACATGGTCCTTCAGTGCCCCAAAGCTTAAAGACTTAGATGAGCTTTGGCTGAATCCTCTTTGTGCTTAGTGAGGTTTGCCCCAGCTTGCCCAAAGGAAGAACAGGAGTGGAAGAAAAGTGTTAGAGAAAACCATTTATCGTGTGAAATACCAACCGTGCCTCGGATGGCCCTTTGAGAAGTCTAACTCGGGGAAGGTCAGAAGAAGATGACATGTTAAAAAGACATATAATTAAGCTACACAGAACGCATCATCAAAGGAAGTCCAACGTGTCTTTGCTTTTTAACTTCTCTTTTTGGTCTCCACTTGTGATTTCATCAGCACAGGGAGTTAGTGCAAGGTGGCACAGGGGACAGAGCCCTGGAATTGGAGTCAGGATGACTGGAATTCAAATCCAGCCTCAGACACTCTCTAGCTTTGTGACCCTGGGCAAGACCCTTAACCTCTGTTTGCCTGATTCCTACACTGAGCAAATACGTCACCCGCCCAGGGTCGCCCAGCCAAGACGCCAAAAGAGATTATGGCACACAAAAGAGATTGAGAGCCCCTGATCTCATCCAATCTTCTCAGTTTTACAGATGAGAAAACTGAGGTTAAATTACTTCTTCCCAGCCACATACATAGTAAGAGTCAGAGGGAAGGTTAAATTCAGATCATCTGACTCCAGATTAGAGAGGAGATGATGCACACGTGAGATTTTGTTTGTTTATTTTAGTCCAGACTTGCAATTTTATTGACATGGTTAACTCCTAGTATGGAAATTCTTCCCACCAAAGCATATGAACAGCTCATCTTAATTCATAATCTTAGAAAGTTGCCTGAAGCAATGAAAGATTAAGTGACTTTGCCCAAGAAGACCTGAGTTCAAATCTTGCCTCAGACATTTACTAGACATTAACCCTGGGCATGTCACTTAATCTCTCTTAGCCTCAGTTTCTGCAGCAGTAAGATAGGGGTCATACAGCCAGAACTTTGCAACCAGAACTTCCTAACTCAAGGCCCAGCCCTTTGGCCAATATTTCTACCAAGATAAAAATCAATGTCATTTGACAACTGATTATATTTGGTGAGTGAGAAAAGGAGAAGAATCAAAGAATACTCCTAGGTTTCAAACCTAAGTATTGCTTTCAAAGGATGTTTCTTAGAGTTATGTAGGGTACATCCTGCACAAATATAATGTGAAACAAGCAAATGCCACAAGACAGTTAGCAGTGAACTTGTAGCTAATCCCACCTGATAAGTAAAGCCTTCAGAAATTAATGCCTGTATAAACATTCAAAGAAATGAGACAGAAAATAGGGAATTGACTGTATAGAATTAATTTAGAAGTTGTATTTATGCACATTATCCTACACTTTGGGAAGTGAAGCTCCTATCTTTTGGAGGCTCAGATATTTATTTATGATTCTTATAGTGAAATTTAACTACAATTTAAGTCTCTGTTAACATCTCTCCAACTGGGCAGTCTTCTGTCTGTCTAGGTCTTTGTCCTAACCTGAAAACGTCGTATCTCTTATTTAGAGTAGATGTTCATGGCTTCACAAAAGGGATATGTTATCTTTTGGAAAAGATGACAGTGAAATTAAAGGTTATCCTTTACATGTTTCAGTGGGTTATTATGCAAACCCTCCTCCCTGAAGAATTAATTCCTGACAGTATGGAAGACAAATTCATAGGATCATAGATTTTAAAACTGGAGGGGACTTCAAAGGCCATTTAATCTGACTCCCCTTATCTTAAAGAAGGGGAAACTGAGTCTCAAGCTTGTTGACCCTGGATTTTCAAAGGCTATGCCAGTGAAGTCTGTACTCAGAAAGGTTCTGCCGAGCTGGAAGGGCCTTAAGAATGGTCCCTGAACCACCATCCTCCCCTTCCCCCAGTAGCCTGGGACCCAATCTAACCAAGCGTAAGGGCGACTGGCTGTTTTGAAGAAGGTTGAGCCTTTACTCATTACGCTAGTAGGTTGAAAAATGGCTGGTTATAGCACGCTGAATTGACGTGTTTGTCTCACTTTACAGAATGGATTTACACCATTGTATATGGCAGCCCAGGAAAATCACCTGGAAGTCGTCAAGTTTCTTCTGGATAATGGGGCAAGTCAGAGCCTGGCCACAGAGGTAATGAATGGTTTTAAACGCATTCTTTCCTATAGATAATTGACTTGTGATTCACAGGCTATTTTCAGGAGGCCAGATTCTTTCCATGTTTCCCCAAGTATGAAAGGTTAATACAGAGGCCTTAAGTTGTGAGTAACTGTGTCTTATCTCATTAGTAGTTAAGAGTGCAAAGAGAAGCGAATATAGGGATTTTTTCTGACCTTTTTTTAATGAAACATGAACAAACCTGCTTTTAAAAATTCACAGGATCTGTCATTTTGCTGAAACACATTGTCTCTCTATGGGTATCTTATTCTGCTTGGATATTAAACCATTATTCACATTTATTACATTCATTTAGGAAGACTTCCACAAACTTAGCATTTTGCTTCCAGAGTGACAATTTTTTGAAATTAAATTAAATTTTTTTGTGATTAAATATTGGTCTGAGATTTGTTTGGTGGTATTTTTTCCTTACAGTTCTGAGTAAGGGTATAATTATAATAATGACTGAGCATTATATAGCAATATCTGGAAGTAATTTTTATAACTTTGATACATATTTCACAACTACTACCTATTTATTTTTTGGACTGGACCTGTGATTACACCAGTGTCAGGATTCATCTATTAAAAAGTCACTCAATAAACATTTATTAAGTGCCTACCATGTATGGGCCAGGCACTGTGCTAAGCACTGAATTATATAGGGATTCTCACTTCCCAGATTCCCTCTACCAATACCTGCTCTGTAATCTATAGTTTTAGAAAGTTGCCTGAGGCTTGTCCCCAGGGTCACTTAGCTATTATTATTTACTTGAACCTAGGTCTTTCTAACTCCAGAGTTGACTCTCTAGATACTATATCACCTTACCTCCCCTACAATTTATTATTTCCAACATCTGAATATTCAGAGAGATATCCAGTGTTCATGGAGTAAAGAAGCCCTCTACTGTGTTGGGTGGACCCCTTGTTACCACTGTGGGAGCATGGGGATGACAGTAGCACAAGATAGGCAAACAGGAAGAGGTTGAGAACTTCCTTGTTGGAGACCACTCCTGCACCTAGCAGGTCACAGATCTGTTTGAGTATTGAGTCCATGTTTCACTGAATTTCCCACTTTCCTCTTGGATACATCAAATGTCCTATCTATAGAAATGGTCAGAGGCATGGAGTTGGATTCCAAGAGAACAAAACGCCATTTTTCTGTAGGTGGCCTCATCTTCCTAGTTTGCAATTATGTTTACCTCACCTTAAGCAATTCTTAAATCTTACTTTGAGTATTCACAGGAGTCTGTACTGACAGAACAAATAAATTAGAACTGCAGAATGTTAGGGCTAGAAGAAGCTCGGCCATCTTCAAGTAGAATCCCCTTTTTTTATACTTGAGGGAACAGAGACCTAAAGAGCAGTGCGATGCCTTAGTTGTTAACAGTCTCCCAGCAGGTTAATGCTGCAGAGCCAAGACCAAGACCCAGGTCTCCTAACTCCCAAACCTGACACTCTTTCTAAAGCCAGACTGCTTCCCTTAGGGGAATGATTATTGTCATCACCTAAGGATCTTTTACAAAAGCATTCACCATCAGGGTCTTTACATAGAAAGCCCCCTAACATATATGATTTACTCCTTGACTCTGTTTTCAACCAATTAACACATAATACTTTCATGGAAAGCCTCCCAATTATAGAAAGCATAAGAAACCTGCATACATATTAAGTGATTTTAAAAATAAACTTTATTGCTATCTTTTGCCTTTACATCAATCTATATTTCCCAACATATGTCCTCCTCCACTGTCAAAGAGCCAGCCCTTAGATCAAAGAATTAAAGAGAGGAAAACAAAACAGTTTAGCAAAATTAGCCAATATATTTGGGGGGGGAGCATAACATCATTATACCCACAAATATTTTCTAATTTTTTTTTTAATTTGGCTTTCATTCGTAATTTGGAATCAGAGGATCTGGGTTCAAACTCTGGTTCTTGCTATCTGGGTAACATTGGGCAAGATACTTAAGCCGATTGAGCCTCATCTGTAAAAATGAACAAGTTGAATTAGATGACCTTTAAGGTCCCTTGAACTCTAACTCTAGGATACTACTGTCATCCTGCCATCATGGACAGTATCCCCAAATTTACATTCCTGTTTGTTGAATATTGATATCCCAATGATATAAGACTCTATTTCCTTTGCTGCCCTTGGAACTGAGTTATCAAAATAAGACAGATTATACACTAATAAAATCCCTTTGCTTTGATCTTTCTGCTAAGAAGAACTGGGAAAATCAAAAATAAGCCAAACCATTTAAACTTGGTTTGAAAACAGAATCTGGAGTTACTAATTCGAATCCCACTAACACAATGCTAATGCCTAAAAGCGGGTGTCTGCTGGCCCACCTTTAATTGGCATTAGCAGGAAGTACCACTCCTTGGTGTTAATCACCTCAGCTACAGTTTATTTATCAGTGTTAAAGTGGGCACTTTTACATTCCAGGAAGGGAGGAACTTGAGAATTTGCATTTGCAAGTATTGGTATTGAACTTGAACTTGAAACAGAGGCATAGAAACCATTGGTTTCCCCCTTCAGTTTTGTTCTCAAATTAAAAGGACACCAGCCTAGTTGCAGCAGAAGATGGGGCTGGCTCCTTGAAAGTGGAGGGGGGGACACATTGGGAAATATGGATGATATAAAAGCAAAGATAGCAGGAACATTTATTTTTAAAATCATTTAGTATAGATGCAGGTTTCTCAAGTTTTCTATAATTGGGAGGCTTTCCATGAAGAGTTGTTTGTTGATTGAATGTTGAATCGGAAGCATGGAGTAAATCAGATATACTAGGGGGCTTGTTATTAAAGACCCTGATGGTGAATGCTTTTGTAAAAGATCCTTAGGTGATGACAATAATCATTGCCCTAAGGAAAGCAGTCTGGCTTTGGAAAGAGTGTCAGGTTTGGGAGTTAGGAGCTCTCCATAAAGATGCTTTCTCTCTGTGTTGGACAGGCAAGTAGGATAGTTCTACAGGTAAGATGGGGCCAACAGACTGAGAGTACTTTGATCATAAAATTTAGAGTTTAGAGATTACTTGGTCTATGCAGGTGTCATCTCACACAGGTAGAGGAGCTAAAGCCCAGACAGGACAATTGATTTCTTTAAAGACACACAGCAAGTGAGTAGGAGGAGTCCTGACTAGAACTGAAAACCTCTGAGCTCAACCTGCCTTGAGGGAGTTGAGTTTAGGTCCTGGTTCTGTCACTAATTTGCTGTGTGCCCTGAAACCAATCACTTGACCTCAGTCCCCTGCAGAATGAGAGGTTTAGACTAGACGACAGCTAAGATCCCTTTGAGGTCTGCCATTCTGTAATTCTCCAGTTCCAGGGGGTTTTAGAAAGATGAACACGACTCATGATGATGCGTTGAGGGCAGAGGCTCAAAGCAAAGGGAGCTTCTCCTTATGGCATCATCTGCTGCCGCTGCTGAGCTCATTTCCAAGTTGCACCACAAGCAGCAGAGAAAAAATAAATATCATGACCTAAATAAAATCCCAAGCTGCTTGCCAATTCTCTAGTAAAAATAATACAAAAGTTCTTTCGAGGCATTTGTCTTAAAGAAAAAAAGGAAAAGACAAATTTCAGCACCAATGGAACCACACAGGAGACGTTCTTGTGGTTTTCCTTCACACTAATAGCGAGTCCATTAACGGAATTCCCCAAATTAAGGAATTTACCAAATAATTTGGTTTACCAAAATTTATTCACCAAATGATTCTCTAAAGAAATCTTCATTATGCAAAGCAAAATTAATGGATGTATGGTTTTGGATACCTTATTTGGCATTTGTCCGCTTGACTATGAGAAGCAGACACAATCCTAAAAACCATGCCTTGATATGTCTATCAGTCAAGCAATTAACAAGTATTTATTAAGTGCCCTCTGGGTACCAGGTTTATATAGTAGGGGAAAGAGAACAGCAGAGCTGGCCTTGCCTTCAAGAGGTGTACACTCTACTGAGGAGAAGAAAAAATGTACACACTCATATACGGGGGGAGAGGGACGAGACCTATGATTTCATTGGTAAAGTGAACTCCCAAGTAAGGAAAATCTGTCTGCCAGAGGTTGGTGCCTTCTCTGCAGATTCTAGTCCTACAGAATTGCCTAGAAAACTAAGGGGTTGACATCTTGGCCAGGATCACACAGCCTGATGTGCCAACAGCATGGCTTGAACCAAGGTCTTTCTGCCTCTGAGAACACCTCTATCTACTTATTACACCATGCCTATTGACTTTCTCTCTTCTCCTCTCCTCTCCTCCCTCTCCTTCTTTTCTCTTCTTTCTTTCTTTCTCCTCTCCTCTTTCTCTTTTCTTTCTCTTCTCTCTCCCTCTTTGTTCTCTCCCTCTCTGTTTCTTTCTCTTCTCTCCTCTCTTTTGTCTCTCTCCTCTTTTCCTTTCTTCCCTCCCTCTCTTCTCTCTCTCTTCCCTCTTTCTTCTCTCTCTTCCCTCTTTCTTCTCTCTCTTTCCTCTCTCTTCTCTCCTCTTCTCTTTCTCTCTTTTCTCTCCCTCCTCTCTTCCTTTCCTCTCTCCCCCTCTCATCTTTCTTCTCTCCTCTTCCCTCTCCTCTTTCTCTTCT